CGGCCGCCGGGCCTGACGCCGGACGCGCCGGGGCAGGGGAGTCACGAAGCGGGGCGCTGACGGTGAGTGAGCCCGGGCCTCCGGGTCCCGTGGGGCGGGCGGGGAGAGGGAGGGAGGCGGCTTCCCCTGCCCGGAGCCCGCCTGGGGAGTGGGACGGCGAGACCGGGCCTCGTTCGGGGACCCCACAAGGATGGCGGAGCCTCCTGCGGCCCACTCCGCTCGCCAGGATGGAGCGGCGTTTGCGCCCGAGGGAAGGATTCCCCCAGGCAGGGCCCGGGGCTGCAGCCAAGTCAGGGAGCCGCTCTCTCCAGGGTGGAACCTGAGGCCGCTTCTCGGAGGAGAGGGGCTGCCCCGAGGAGGAAGCGGGTCGGGATCAGCTCTGGGCCTGGGAGAAGGACCTGACCTTGGTGACCTCGCAGTGACAGGGGAGCTGCCCCCCAGAGCAGAATGGATGCCCCCAGAAGGGACATGGAGCTGCTCAGCAACAGCCTGGCGGCCTACGCACACATCCGCGGTGAGGACGCGCCCGCAGGGCCCTGGGGGCATGGACCCTTCCCGGACCCTCTGACCCCCACCACCCCGCCCCTCCCCACCTGCGCGCCCCTGCCATTGTCACCCTTTCCCAGCCTCCCCCACCCTCGCGGCCTCATTGACCGATGGCCGTTCCCCAATGTCCTTCAAATAGGAGCCCCGGTCCTTGCCCCCAAAAGTAGAACACGGAGTCTTTTCAAGATGGAATGAATCCCACCCGCCAGGGCCCCTCCGTGACTTCTGCCCCTTGACCCCCAGCTAACCCCGAGAGCTTTGGCCTCTACTTCGTGCTGGGCGTCTGCTTTGGCCTGCTGCTGACCCTGTGCCTACTAGTCATCAGCATCTCCTGCGCGCCCCGCCCGCGGCCCCGGGGCCCCGCTCCGCGCCGCGACCCCCGCAGCAGCACCCTGGAGCCTGAGGACGACGACGACGACGAGGAGGACACGGTGACGCGGCTGGGCCCCGACGACACGCTGCCGGGCCCCGAGCTGTCCGCGGAGCCCGACGGGCCCCTCAGCGTCAACGTCTTCACGTCGGCCGAGGAGCTGGAGCGGGCGCAGCGGCTGGAGGAGCGCGAGCGGATCCTGCGGGAGATCTGGCGCACCGGGCAGCCGGACCTGCTGGGCACCGGCACGCTGGGGCCCAGCCCCACGGCCACGGGCACGCTGGGCCGCATGCACTATTACTGACCCGCCCCGGCTCCCGCTGCAAGGCGCTCTGGGTACGGGACATGCCGCTGAGCCCAGAGCTGCCCCAGGACCTCCGGAGAGCCTACCCGCACGGCTCCCCTGGTGCTATTGGGCATGGACCGCCATTCTCTGGGAGGGACCCTTCCGCAGTCCTGCCAGAAGGCCACGGGGGTGGGAAAGGGCAGGATGCAGGGTCCCCACCCCCTCTCTGGGGGACGATGAAGAGGTGAAGTGACCAATGAAAGCTGCATTCTCAGAGACTCAGTCTCTCCCTTTGTTAACCCCTGCCTCCAGCAGTCCCCAGGCTCCTGCCATGCAGACCCCACTCGACCCCTTCAGGTTGGCCACCTCCGCCCGCCTACTCACCCCCCCAAGACTCAGCACACATGCTTGTGTTCACTTCGCAGACGGCAGACACTCGCCAGCCTCACCACAGAACCCGTATGGTCACACGCATTCCTTACGAACGCACTCCTTGACCCGCAAACGCTTGGGCACCCGTCGCCCTGTCCCCACATCGCCCTGGGCTCACACATTCATTGCGATCACACACACACACACACACCCCAGGCCTCGGACCCTGACCTTGACGCTAAGGAGCTATTGTCCCGAGTGTGACTATGCGGCGTTCACGTCTGAGCCGCAGTGCGCTCAAATGGGCGCGCACGGGAGCCCCTCCCGGCGGACCTAGAGACGGCCTGCCCGGCCCCCGCCGGCGCGCAGCTGGATTCCGGAATCCGGGCCCGCGGGCAGAGCCCGACCCCGCCGGGGCCCCTCCTGCCCGCCATTCCTCCAGCGCGGGGCTGGCGTCCGAAGGAGACACCCCACACACACACCATCCGGTGGATAAAAATAGCCGCGCGCAGGCCTTGGGAACGGTAATGGGAGCCACATGTTGGCCAGATGTGCCCGGGAGAGCCCGGCAGGAATGCGGAGGCCCGGGAGCGCGCAGCCCGCCCCGCCCCGCCCGCACGGACCCGGCCCACACGGCTGGCGATGACGAGGCAGAGTTTACTTTCTTGCGTTTCCCAAAGTCGTGTGCAAGGACCTGGGTGGCCCGAGCCAGACGTCCCCCCGGGGTCGGGCCGCGGTCCCTCTCAGGCCCGCCTTCAGTTCGTCTGCGTCTGCGCGTGGATGGAGCCCCGGGTCGGGGATTTCGGGGTCCTTTGCATCATCTGCACCTAAGGGGGACAGGGCGTCAGGGGAGCGGCGGCCGCGGCCCCCTCCCCGCCGTGGCCCACACCCAACCCACCTCCAGCAAGAGACGCTTCTCCCTCTCCCTCTTCAGCTCCTCCCAGATGTCGGTCAGCTTCCTCCTGAGGACACCAGACCCAGGTGAGCGGTGGGGCGGGCTCTTCCCTTCCCACACCCGCTCCCTGTCCCTGCCACTTACTCCAGCTGTTCCCCTATCAGCTCCAGCGCCCTCCTAAGAGACTCCACCTCGTCCTTCAGCGTCATTATGTCCACTCTGCTGTCCCTGCTTTCCGTGGAATTTTGCAGGACCAGAGAATGGAGGCTGGGAGTCTCTTGGGGATCTGGGATCTGCTTGATAAGATCTGAGATTTGGGGGGCAGGAGCTACTTCTTTGGGGAGCGCCTCTGCTTTGGAAGCCATCTCCTCTTTGGGGGGCACCTCTGCTTTGGGAGCCACCTCTTCTTTGGGGGTCACCTCTGCTTTGGGAGCCACCTCCTCTTTGGGGGTCACCTCTGCTTTGGGAGCCACCTCCTCTTTGGGGGGCACCTCTGCTTTGGGAGCCACCTCCTCTTCAGGGGGTGCCTCCTCTTTGGGGGGCACCTCTGCTTTGGGAGCCACCTCCTCTTTGGGGGGTGCCTCCTCTTTGGGGGTCACCTCTGCTTTGGGAGCTACCTCCTCTTTGGGAGCCACCTCTGCTTTGGGGGTAGTCTCATCTTCCGCAATTGCCTCTTCTTCCTGAGGGTAAGCCTTCTCAAGGATAGGCATGGATCCTGGTGCAGACCCACACTGGAATGGGGAGCTGTCTCTCTTAACTAGGGGGTGTTTCATCATACAGAGGCATATCTCTGAGGAGTCAGGCTGGAGTGGGGGTTCCTCTGGCATGTGGGCCTCCTCTTGGGACTGGGCCTCATTGGCCACAAGGGACTTGGCCTCCTGCAGGGTTTCCTCCAGAGAAAAGTGATAGAATTGAATGTTGTCTCCGGTGCAGACCTCTTCAGAAAGCACCTGGTACAGGAACAAGACCTGTTCTAGGGTGGGGGCCTCATCCTCTGGGGGGGGCACCTTTGACTCAGGGGCTTCATCCTTAGGTGGTACTTCTGGGGCGGGGGCCTCATCCACAGAAAAGACCCTCTCTGGAGTGGAGGCCTTGTCCAGAGTCGGGGTCTTCTCTAGAGTGAGCACTTTGTCAGGAGTCAGGATCTTCTCTGGGGTGGGGTTCTCTGGGGAGGGGGCCTTGTCCTCCACAGCCGGGATTTTCTCTGGGGTGGGTACTTTGTCAGGAGCCAGGATCTTCTCTGGGCTGGAAGCCTTGTCTGGAGACAGGGTCTTCTCTGAGGTGGTGGTCTTGTCCAGAGTGGGGGTTCTATTCACAGAAGGGGTCTTTGCCGGGCTACTGTGCTCTTCCTCCTGTGGTGATGGGGGGTGAGGTCTCCCCTGAGGGCTGGAGCTTGAAGGTTCAGGTCTGGTTCCCTTGGCCTGGGATCCTTCACCCTTGCACACCATACCTCTGGGAACCAACCTCTGCCCAGTACCCCCACTCTCCCATGTCCGGCTTCTCACCTGACTGGGTGCAGAGCGTTGTTGCCGGGGAGCCTGGGTTTTGGATCGCTTTCTGCCAGCGTGGCCCGGAACCCCACTGAGGAAGCTGCCATTGGTGCCTATGAGAGCAGACACCCAAGCCTACTCCGACCTCAGCCTCTCCCCATCTTTGTCCCTCAGCACAACCACCCTATCCCTGTCTTCCAGTCCTCCCCTCGTTGGAAGAAGGCAGCCATTACCTGAGTCTCGGGACAGGCGCTTCTGACCATCCCTGCTGGGTGTCCAAGATGTCCTGGAACATATTCCCATCAGGCCGTGGAGTGGGGGCAGGAAGCGGCATTTCCTCTGTTCCCTCCTCCTTCCCCCAACCCCACTCTCCTCCTTACTTGGCTTTGCTGGGCCCAGTGGGGGTTGTCACTGGCTTCTTGACTGTAGAGAGGGATGTTTTGGGCATCCACTTTTTTGATTCCTTAATAGGAGCTAGAAGAGAGGAGTTCGTTTGTCACTATCCATCCATCCACCAACCACTGGCCCTGTTGTGTGCTGTGCTCAGGGGACTATGGACAAGGAATGAACCATATTTGACTGTCTCCTGGGAAGCTGACCACCCTCATGCCACATAAGCACAAGGCACTGTGGAAGCACCCCAAAGGGACACCTAGCAAAAAGTTTTCGGGGAAGGCTTTGAGGGGGAGATGACTCCATATCTTGCCAGGTTTTTATCCATACTTTACCAAGACCTGTCTACTGCTTAGTGCCCATGTACCGCCTGGTCCAATCCTCATCTCTTCCCTGGACCATGGCAACAACTTCTCCTTTCCAATCTGTCCTCAAACTTCTTTAACTTCTCTATGTCATTTACTCCCTAGGAGATCTCACCCCTTCTTCCCTGAACTCCAGACTCAAATCCGACTGTCCTCTGCATATTTCCACTTGGAGAGCTAACTGGGACCACACATTTAACAGGTGCAACCCCTTTGCCCCCGTATCTGCCCCTTTCCCAGTGTTCCTCATCTCACCCATTTAACCACTTGCTCAAACAACAAAATAAAGAGCCATCATTGACTCCTTTTATTTCCTTGTGCTGCACATCTAGACCATCAGCAAACCCTGTCCACTCTGCCATCAAAATATATCCTGAATCCAGTCACTTGTCACCACGTCCACCACTTAGAACTCTAGATCAAATCACCCCCACCTTCACCTGGACTTTTATAACAGCCTTCCCCCTGGCTTTGGCCTCACCCATCCTGCCTATAGAGCGTCCCTCCCACAGCACCCAGAGGGAGCTCACGTTCTATTAGGGAAGCAGACATAAACAAGAGAAGCAAAATGTGGAGTGCGCTAGAAAATTAGTGTTATTGACAAGAATAAGCAGCGGAGTGGACAATTTTAAGTGGGGTGGTCACAGAAGGACACACTGAAGTGACATCAGAGTGAACACAAGAAGGCAGCCACACACAGTGACATTCACATCTGCAGACACACAGCCACCCCAGCCTGTGCACACGTACTGACCTTTACTCACACACACACATTATCACACACACATACACAAATCCAGCCGTGAGTAAGGGTGTGGATTCTACAGCCAGACACCAGGCTTTGCGTTCCAGCTCCATTCCTTGCTAGTTGTATGAGAACTTGGGCAAGTAACCTGTGCCCCAGTGGCCTCATCCTTAAAACACGGACAACAACTGTATACACCTTGTAGGCCTGCCGTGAGGTCTAACTTAATACATATGAGGACCAACTGACAGACCGTAACACATATGAGGACTTACAGCATGGCTGATTAGGTGCTCTGTGGGGCCTTCCCACTGCAGAGCAATTATATTCTGCTTAGGACACAAATCTGAGGCATTGCTGGACTTAAAAGGCATAAGGGAGGTCCACAAAATAACGAACTGGGGCCAGAAAGGTGGTAAGAAGGCAGCTGTGCTCTGTGGCTGCTAAGCCTGGGGCCTGTGATGCCGAGCAGGGGTCCCAGGCTCTGTTCCCTTGGCTAACCACAGGCCCGAAGCTCAGTAGCCACAAAGCAGTGCCACCCTTGCACCACCTTTTTTCAGGAGGCACAGTGGTCTCTGGGTTGGCATCCTCTGGGTACTGGCAGAAGTAGAAACAAATCCTTTCTGGAAGAAGTCTTCCCCTGTGAAGGCCTGCAAGACTCCCACAGATTAAGACCAAGTTATGAGATCATAAACAAAGCTCACATAACACACGAAAAGGCAGGCCACTGAGAGTGGAAGTCAGCAGACACAACGCGCAACAGATACTGGAACTGTGAGGCAGAGAACATGGCATGGCTATGTAAGAAATATTTGAAGAAATTAAGGATGCGCATGCAACAAGGGACCATCAAGAATAGACAGGCAGATGTGGAAAACAATCAAGCAAAAAGAAAACTGAACTACTAGTGATGAAAAACAACTTGCTTGCAAAAAATGCAATGAAAATCTATTACTTACATGTACATGTACTTACATTACATGTACAGGTTGAACAGCAGATTAAACACCGCCAAAAAGCTAGAGAGAGAATCAGTAATGTAGGTGTAGAATGAAACAGAATGAAAAATTTGAGAGTCATGTTAGGAGGAATGGATAATAGAAGCAGGGCTTGGCTCTAGTTGAGTGAGGTGGTGGACAAATCTTCTCTCTACAAGACAACTATAAAGCTAGATAAAAATTACAAAACAACCACTTCAGTGCTCTGGAAATTGTCCAAAGGCATAGGTAATTTGAGAAGTGTTTATACTTGATGGTGTTCTTGCCTAGGGCTGCTCCCATCCCTGCCCCCCCAGCTTGTTCCACGTGTGTATGTTCGGCAGGATAGGGCAGGTTGTGAGGTTGAACAGCAGATTAAACACAGCCAATAAAGCTACAGAATCAGTAATCTAGAAGTACAGTGAAACAAAGAATGAAAAATTTGAGAGCAATGTTAGGAGAAATGGGTAATAGAATTATCCATTCAATAGAATTGTGAGGATCAGCAGCATCACTGCCATGGCTGAAAGCAGTTCACTCCATTTGGAGTGTAAACTTGGATTTGGCATTGGTTCCATAGATATGACCCCAAAAGCACAACCATCCAAAGAAAAAATAAATTCATCAAAATTTAGAACTTCTGTGCACCAAAGGACACTATCAAGAAAGTGAAAAGAAAACCCACAGAATGGAAGGAAATATTTGCAAATTGTATATCTGATTAGGGACTTTTATCTAGAATATATAAAGAACTCCATAACTCAAGAGTAAAAAGAAAAATAACTCAAAAAATGGGCAACAGATCTAAATAGACATTTCTCCAAAAGAAGATATACTAAGAGCCAATAAGCACATGAAAAAATGCTAACATCATTAGCCTCCAGAGAAATACAAATCAAAAGCACGATGAAATACTTTATAATACCCATTACAACTGTTGTAATAAAAAGATAACAAGTGTCAGTGTGAATGTGGAAAAATTGGATTTCTCATATACTGCTGGTGGGAATATAAAATGATACAGCCACATTGAAAAACAGTCTGGTAGTTCCTCCCAAAGTAAACACAGACGTATCATGTGACGTAGCAATTCCATTCCTGGGTACATAACAAAGAGAAATGGAAACATGTCCACACAAAAACTTATACATGAAAGTTCATAGCAGTATTATGCATAACAGCCAAAAAGCAGAAACAACCCAAATGTCCATCAATTAAAGAATGAATAAATAAAACTTTGTGCATTCATACAGATTACTGGGGAATAAAAAGATATAAAGAACAGTATATGCTACAAAATGGTGAACCTTGAAAACATACAAAGTGAAAGAAAACCATTACAAAAGACTATATATTGTATGATTTCATGTATATGAAATGTAGACAAATCAATCAAGACAAAGTAGATTAGCGATTGTCTAGGGCTGATGGGTAGAGTGGGTAGATTGGAGAGTAATGGCTAAAGGGCAGAGAGTTTCTTTTAGGGGTGATAAAAATGTTCTAAAATTGATTGTGGTGATGTTGCACAACTCTATGAATATACTAAATGCCATTGAACTGTATTTTAAATGAATGAGTTGTATGGTATGTAAATGATATTTAAATAAAGCTGTTACCAAAAAAAAAGTTGGCAGGCCAGATGTGGCTCACAGACTATAATTTGCTGACCCCTGGTCTAAATACCACAATTAAAAGGCAGAGATTGTCAGAATGAACAAAAAAATCCATGATCCAACTGTAAACAAGACTGAACAACAGATTCAAAGACACAAATAGGTTGAGAGTAAAAGGCTAGAAAAAGATTATATCACACAAAGAGTAACTGGAAGAGAGTTGAGTGGCTATTTTAATATCAGACCTAGCAAAGAAAAATTACTACAGACAAAGAGGAATAGGTCATAACAACTAAAAGGTCAATACATCGGGAAGATATAACAATTATAGATGTATATGTGTCTCAACAAAGCCTCAAAATCCATGAAGCAAACACTAGTAGAACTGAAAGGAGAAATAGACAATTCACCAATAATAGTTGCAAATAATAGTTGGAATTCTTTCAGGAGAATGGTTAAGACTTTAAACTTAGACTTGTAAAGTTAAAGATACATGGCAAATTTCAAGAGTAACCACTAAAATATAAAAATAATGTGTATAAATTTCAAATCGATGAAAAAAACAAGAAAAACAAAAAAGGAAAAGAGCCACTGTAAAATATTGTAAGATAATTATGATTAATATAGTCTTAATTTACAATTTATCACCAAAGACAAAAACTGAAAGATTAGAATAAAAATGGTTAAGATGGTAATTTTATGTTATATGGCTTTTACCTCAATTTTTTTTAAAAGCTACAATAAAAAAACTTTTTAAAAAGTATTTGAATATATTAACTCTGGTGAGAATGAACAAAAGAGAGGAAAAAATAAACTATTAGAAATGAAAAAAAGGGCTGTTACTTCAGATATGGCTGAGATTATAGGATTATAAGGGAACTTTATGAACATTACACAAATAATTGAAAAAATGTCACCAAAACTGATTCAAGAATTTTAGCCTGACTTTTCTATAACTATTAAATAAATTAAAGAAGTCATTTTAAATCTTCCCATAATGGAAAAAATAAATAAAAAAATAAAAACCGAGCCATATAAATTTACAGGCAAGTTTTACCAGCTTTCAAGGAAAGATGGTTCTCATCTTATAAAAAACCTACCAGATAATTGAAAAGAAAATGTATATTCTTTAGCTAATTCATGAGGCCAGTATAATACTGATAACCAGATGAGGATAGTAAAAATAAATGCAAAAATCTTAAGAAAAATTGGGAAAATATTCTAACAGTATATGAAAAGATAATAAACCATGACTAAGTCGGATTTATCCCAGGAATGCAAGAGTGGGTTTAAAAATTCTTTAGATCCCCATGCTGACCAGCCACAAGAAAATTAAAAATAAAAATAAAATAAAAATTCTACATATGTCATTCATCACATTGACAGATTAAAGGAGAAAACCCATATAATCATTCTGAAAATTCAGATAAACAATTTGGGAAAACTCAACACCCATTCTTGATAAAAATTCTAAGCAAAGTAAAAATCAAAAGGACCTTACTTAGCCTCACAAAAAAACATCTGCAAAAGACCTAAGCAAACATCATATTTATTTATTTAATTTTTTTTTTAAAGATGACCGGTAAGGGGATCTTAACCCTTGACTTGGTGTTGTCAGCATCACACTCTCCCAAGTGAGCGAACCGGCCATCCCTATATGGGATCCGAACCTGTGGCCTTGGTGTTATCAGCACCACACTCTCCCGAGTGAGCCACGGGCCGGCCCCTCAAACATCATTTTTAAAGGAGAAAACTAGAAGCATTTTTTTTTAGAATCAATAACATGACAATGGTGTTCACCATCACTACTTCTATTCAATAGTAAACGAAGGGTGTTCAGAAAGTTCATGGAAAGAGCTGTATTATCTTTTAATTCTATTTTCCACAAGCTTTTTCAAGTACTCTCATATTGAAGATCCTAGTCACTATAAAAAAACAAGAAAATTAAACAGCAGAAGGTGTGAAAAGAATGAAGCATAATTGTCATTATTCACATATGACATAACTGTCTTCATAGGAAACTTTTAAGAATCTACAGAAAAATTATTGGAAATAATCACAGTTTAGCACCATGGCTGACTATAAAATCAATATACAAAAATCAATGCATTTCTAGGCTAGCCAGTTGGCACAGTTGGTTACTGATATGGTGCTGATAATATCAAGGTCCAGGGTTCAATCCCTGTACCAGACAGCAAAAAAAGAAAAAGAAAAAAGAAAAAAAATCAATGCATTTCTATATTCCTGCAATAAACAGAAGAATATCTAATTTTTTATCAAAGAACACAATTTTTTTTCTTTTTTTTTTTGGGGGGGGGGTGGCTGGCCAGTACAGGGATGAAATCTTGGAATATCTAATTTTTTAAAAAAGACAAAATGAAAACTCTGAAGTATCTAGGAGCATCAAGGAATAAAACTTTAAAAATTGTGTAAAACTCACATGCAAAGATAACAAATGATGCTGAAACAACTGATTGCCTATATGGAAAAAGGTATAATTGGATCACTCATTAGAATCAATGCTACATGGATGAAAGCACTTAAATATGAAAAACAACACTTTAAAAGTTTAACAGAAAATATACATGATTGTCTTTCTGAACCTGGAGCTGGAAAAGATTTTTTCTTTTTTTTTTTCGTGACCAGCAACGGATTGCAACCCTCAGTGTCGCGCCCGTACCGGACCGGGACCGGCAACAAGATCGCAACCCTCGGTGTTGCCCCCACTCCTCGCTCAGCCAGTGAGCGGCCAGTCTGTATGTGGGATCCGAACCCTCGGCAGGAGCGCCGTGCTCCCAAGTGGCGCACTGTAGCAGTGCGCCACCGGGCCGGCCCCTGGAAAAGATTTCTTAAACCAAGGATAAGATTGATATGTTTGACTGCATTAAAATTAAGAACTTACGTTCATCAAAAAGCATTTTTAAAACAATGAAGACAAGCCACAAACTGAGACCAAATACTGGCAACATGTATACCTGTAAAGGATTGGTATTCAGAATATATAAAAAACTACAAATTATTTGTAAGCAAGGACATACAAGTTAAGTTGAAAATGAGACAGTACTTTGAACCTACTAGATTCACAAAAATGATGAAATCTTTTTTTTTTTTTTTTGCCACTACAAGGATGGAACTCTGGACCTTGGTATTATCAGCACCGCGCTCTAACCAACTGAGCTAACTGGGCTGCCTGGACCTCTTTCTTATACACTGTGATGGTGGAGTGTTAAAGTGGACAATCACTTTGAAAGTCAATTTGACTTTATCTCACAAAAGTTGAATATTCACATAATATATAATCTAGCATGCCCCTCCTAAGATTATACCTGAAAGAAACTATTGTATGTGTACACCAGAAGAAAAGCATACGAATGTCCGAATGTCCGTGGCAGCTCTATTTGTAATAGTAAAAAACTAGAAACAACTAAAATGTCCAACATCAGGAGACCAGATTGCAGTAAATTCCCTATAAGAGATATTATACAGCAGAGAAAAATAAATGAACTACATCTATACACAACATGGATGAATCTTAGAAACAATGTTGATTGAAAACAGCAAGTTCCAGAAAACTATAAACGTATGCTACCATTTTTATAAAGTTCAAAAACAACAACAACAAAAATTTAGTGATACATTGTTTAGACCCATACATACGTAAGAAAACTTAAAAATTCAAGGGAGGGGCTGGCCAGCTGGTTACAGCATGGTGCTGAGAACACCAAGGTCCAGGGTTCCATCCCTGTACTGGCCAGCTGCCAAAAAAAACCCCCAAAAAACAAAAAATTCAAGGGACTTATAAAGTTCAAGATAGCAGAGCCGGCCCGGTGGCGCACTGCTACAGTGCGCCGCTTGGGAAGCGCAGCGGCGCTCCCGCCGAGGGTTCGGATCCCACATACAGACTGGCCGCTCACTGGCTGAGCGACGTGCGGGGGCAACACCGAGGGTTGTGATCCCGTTGCCGGTCCCAGTCCGGTACGGGCGCGACACTGAGGGTTGCGATCCGTTGCCGGTCACAAAAAAAAGAGACAAAAAGGAAAAAAAAAAACTTCAAGATAGTGGTTACTTTTTGCAAAGGGGAAGTGGTAGAATGGAAAAGAGAAGAAGCATACAAACTATTGGCAATGTTGTAGTTCTTGGGTTCAGGTGATAGAACATAAAATGTTTAGAACATACATATTATGTATATTTTTGACGTGTCAAATATTACATTAAAAGTTAAGTTAAAAAGACATCCCCACAGACACACATACAGAGCTACTCACCAACACACGTCTAAGACACGTGGACATACACAGTCTCATACTCAGACACATAAAGTAGTCCCCCCTTGTCTGTGGTTTTGCTTCCCGTGGTTTGTTACCCACGGTTCACCACAGTTGGAAAATATTAAATGGAAAATTCCAGAAATAAACAATTCATATGTTTTAGTGTTTGTTTTTTTTCCCCTTTGGCTGCTGGCTGGCACAGGGATCCAAACCCTTGACCTTAATGTTATAACACCACGCTCTAACCAACTGAGCTAACCAGCTAGCCCCAATTCATATGTTTTGCCCCAATCCATACGTTTTAAAGGCTAGGTCAAGATGCCTACCTACATCATTTGCCTCACTTTATGTCATCACATAGGCATTTTATCATCTCGCATCATCACAGGAAAAAGAGGGAGTACAGGAGCATAAGATATTTTGAGAGACCATCATACCTTTTATTATATTGTTATAATTGTTCTGTTGTTATTGTTGTTAATCTGTAACTGTGCCTAACTTGTAAATTGAACTTTATCGTAGGTATGTATGTATAGGAAAAAAGACAGTATATATAGAGTTCAGTACTATGTGCAGTTACTGGGTGTCTTGGACCATATCCCCCATGGAAAAGGGGGGACAACTGTAGATTCATACGTTTCCTCACAAAATGAAACAAATCTATAAAACTGATAGTCACATTCCCAAAACACACAGATAAATATTAACATATTAATACACACAAACTGACCCACAGACTGATTCTCATACACTCACCAGGCCCTTGACTCACAGGGGAGGGAGCTCCTATGGGGGTACACTGGACCATTAGGGAGTTATGGGTGTTTATGGGCAACTGGACTGGTGGATAACCCAGAGAGCACCCTCCATTCCCAGACTCTCTGGGCACCCACCTGATTCCTGAGATACCCCTTTCCGTGGGACCAGCTTCTTGACCTATGAAGAAAAGAAGAATCAGAATCCAAAGAGGAGCCTTCACAGGTCTAGGTCCATTCTCATTTAGCGGTAACCCAACAGCTGGGCCCAGGGAGTACCATACCCACTGTTTTTAGGGAGCCCCATGCCCCTCCAGCTGGGTCCAGTGAATGCTGTGAACCCCAACTTTGTCCAAAACAGCCTGCCCCCTTCCTGAGTGCCTGACTCTGTACTCACTGGGGGTGGTGGAAGAACAAAGTTGTCTGGAAAAACTCCTCTTCTGCCTTGACACTCTCCTTCCCACCAGCCCTTATCCTCTGTGGTCTGAGAGAGAAACATGCCAGTGGGGAGGACCCCCACCTCCTTTCCTGGGTCTCACCCCTTCTCAACACCCCCTTCCCTGGCCCTCCCAGCCCCGTTCCTCTCACACCTTCCTCAGTACTTTCACCACATCCCCCTTCCGCAGCGCCAACTCATCTGGGGCCTCGGGCTGGTAGTCAAACAGGACCCTGTAGGTCTCAGGGTGGGAGACTAAGGAGAGGTCAGTCCACTGAAGTCAACCCTCCCCCATCAGTCAGTGTCCCCCTCCCCCACCAGCTTAGCTGGTCCCTCCACCCCCAAGTCAGAGTGGCTTGAGGGGGGACAGTTGGGGGAAACTTTGGCCGGGTGCTCACCTGTCTGCAGGTAGTTTGGAGGGCTGTCATAGGACAAGCTGCTCAGCTAGTGAGGTAGGGGAGGAACAAGATGAGCCTCTAACCACCCCAAGAAGAATTCATCATAGCCATGCCCACTCTGACCCAATTTACCTTGGGAGGCCGCTGGGGATCAGGACTGACTGAAGGCATGTCTTGGTTACCAAGGCCTAGTGGGGGACAATGAGGTTAGGAGGGTGCCAATTCACAGGTTAGGTCATAGGAGAGGGTCAAAGGGGTCACAGGGTCAGAATGTGTGGATCACAGGCTCATGCCACTGGGAGGGTCATTGAAGATTTCAGAGTCTGGTCCCAGAGGGTCACATGGTTGAGGTCTCACTTGGGGGCCCACTGTCCAGCAACTCCACAAAGTTGGATGGGAAGGCTCCCAGCTGCCCGTTCTTCTTCCCCAGCCACCAGCCGTCCTCAATCTGGGGAGGAGGGGAGGACGCAGGGGCATCTGGTTCTGCCCCAAGGGTCACTAGAAATCCTACACCCTTGCTTCTGCCTCAGGACCCCCTTCTCCTCCCTTGCTCCCTCACTTCCCCATCTCTGCGCCCCTCACCATTCCCATCGCCCACACCCTCACTCGTGAGGCGTGCTCCATCATCTGCCCCCAAATCCTCTCACCTCCTTTATCACTTCCACAATCTCCCCAGCTTGCAGCTTCAGCTCGTCCGCCTGCTCCGGGTTGTAATTGAAGTTCACTTTGCACCATCTTTGGGGGCCCCGAGATTTGGCGGGATGGCCTGGGGTCGGACAAGAGCGAGGCAGCTTGAGCCGTGTGCCCCAGTCGCTGAGCTGGCGGCAGGGCAGGCCGCGAGCTCACGCCTCAGTGCCTCCAGGCAGGCCCCGCCCTCGGGCGGAGCATTGTACTCGAGGACCAATCACAGGCCGCAGAACGACCCCGAGGCCCCTCCCGGAGCCCCGCCCGTCACCGCGAGCTGGCGGCTGCCCCGGCGACCTGCCCCCGCCCACCCGCTCACCTCGGCGACGCGCGCAGCGCGGTCTCCGCGCCTCCCCGGCGCCCCGTAGGGACTCTGGGATCTCCTGGGAAAGAGGGCAAGGCGAGGGGCTCTCAGCTCCCGGGAGGAGCGCGCCAAGACCCCAGACCGCCGCCGGCCCGGCCTCACCTGCACCAGCCGCTCGGGGAAGAGGCCGTAATGGCCCGCCAGCTCTCCGCGCAGCCAGCCCCGGGCGGACCCCTCGCGCACCTGCCGGACCACGTCCCCGGGTGCCAGACTCAGCTCGTCGTCCTTCTGCGCGCGGTATCCGGCCAGGACCAGGACCTCTGCTGGGGGAGGACGGGGCGGGGCGCGGCTCAGAAAGGCCACGGGGGCGCGCCAGGCGAGGCCCGGGCTCCGTGTAGAGGGCAGCGGGAGTGGGGTGGTGGTGTAGGCTTCTCCCTTTCCACACGGTTACACGGAGGAGCCACCCAAAACTCTCTGCACATACCCATGGCGTCCTCCACAGCCTCGCAGGTCCCGCTGGCGGCCGAATACTGGGCCCGGCTAGGGTGGGACAGGCTGCAGGACTGTGAAGCCAAGGAGGCGGAGACGCGAGCCGATAGGTCGGGCTCCAGGTGCTGGAGTGGGTGTGGGAGAGGGGGCGGCCCGGTTCGGCTGGTTCGGGCCTCAATCCAGGGGTGAGGACTCCAGGGTCTCTGGCCTGTGCTGCGGTCACAGCTGCCTCACAGGCTTTTCCCCGCCCACCTGAATTTCACCTAAATTCTAGTCTAGCAGCTTCCCCACTTCTCCCATCCTAGACCCCGGGTGAGGCTCCTACCCCTTTGCAGAGCCTCCCCTGGCCCACCCTTTCCTTGCTCGCAAGCTTTTAGCTGGAGGGTATGAGGTGGAGAGAGGCACATACCAGGGTGGGGCACCCTAGCAAGCGGCAGCCGCTCTAAGCCGGGCCCTGGGTGGAGGCAGTGGTTGCTCTAGTCAGAGCAAAGCCATTGCTGGATAGTAGATAGTATACTTCAAATCTCTTGCTTTCCTCTCTGGCAAAGCACCTCCCTCCCTGGCCCCATACTCACCCCCGCACCCCACTCCCAGAAAAGAGAGGAAAGATCCCTGCTTTGGGACCGCAGGGGCCTAGTTTGGCTTCAGGAAACACCTCCAGATTCTTCTTGCAGGAAGGCAGGGGGAAACTTTACGAGCTTACAAAGCTCCTGCTCACAGTCCAGCCCAGAGCTGTCAAGAGTCTGAAGGTTAGGGCCCACCTAAGGCCAGTCTCATAATCCTGCTCAGTGAACACAGAAGGCTGAGCCTGTAAAGGACACTCCTTGACCCCTGCCCCACCACAAAGGAAGCCAAAGTCCTTGCCCATGTCACCACAATAAAAAAAGAAGTGGTTCTCCTGGGGTGTCCAAGGTGCAGGATAAAGCAAAACCACTGGGGTGAGAATCAGTTGCCTCCCTGGTGGTAACTGAGTGTGGGGCTCAGAAGAATGAGGTTGAGCAGCAGTCTGGGCACAGCCCCCACAGGCATTTTACCTTTCAGGTTTCCCAAAACTGCTCTGTGAGTATCTACCATCCCCAACACACACACATACACACTCAGGGTAACAATGATCAGAACCCATTTACATCTGCCACTTTATTTTTTTTTTTTTATTTGCAGGAGGAGTTGAAACAAATTTTAAGGGTGTTTTTCATTTTTTTCCCCTAAATATTAATCATTCAAGTAAAACCAACTTAACTATAGAAATGTAGCAAAGTAAGGGGAAGCATAACCCAAGAAGCAAAGGTTGGGGGGAGTGGGGAGAGGGGGGTGCAGGCCACATACAACATATGCATGAATGCCATATGATTCACCTGCTCAGGACCGCCTCCCCAAAAGGCAAGCACGAGGACCCAATTTTTTTTTTTTTTTTTTTTTTGGTGGCTGGCCAGTATGGAGAACTGAACCCTTGACCTTGGTTACAAGGCTGCTCTCTAACCAACTAAGCTAACCAGCCAGCCCCCACCACCACCCATTTTAAGAGGATGTTTTTCCCCCAAACATCTGAGAATGTTTCAACTTAAGCTTAAGGTTAAAAAGAAAAAACTAAACAAGACCAAAAAAAAAAAAAAAACCCACACACAAAAAACCAAAAGACCCCATGAACCACCCAGCCATAACCACCTTCCTTAAATGATCATAGGAGTTTCTTTTCATTTTATAAAAAGATTAATAAAAAATATTGAAAAATTATTTTCTCATATTTGTAAAGATAATAGCATTCATAAGTTTCTTAGAAAACAGACCAGAAACTGCCCTCCAGTTTCCACCCTGGTTGCTGAAAGATCAGCAGGACTAGAAAGTTTGGGATACTGGAGTTGCTGGTGAATGGGAAGCCCAGCCCAGAAGAAAATATGGGAGCAGGGGCGTGGGGGGTGTGAGGAGCAACTCCATGTGATACATGGCTGCGCAGAAAAGGGGAACACAAGGTGGTCAGAAAGGCCTTAAACTCCTCCTTTACATACAAAACCAGTTTTTACAAAGATCCAAGCAGTTTGGTCCCAAATTGAGGTGAACACGTCAATGTTTATTCACATGCTTTGTTTTCTCTATTAAGAATCAAAGTTGCCCAAATTAAATTGTGCTAATAATACTACATATGCCTAAAAGAAAAGAAAAAAAAAAAAAAAAAAAGGGCTTTTAAAATCAGGACGGGGAGAAGAGACTGAAAATTATCAAATTAGTCCCCTTAGCGCCAAATGAAATGAAATTAAGAACAAAACTGTTGGTTTCTAATAGGGAACAAACCAAAATCCAAGCATCGCTCTCCCTCCCTACCCCAGCCCCCACCCCGCACACCAACAATAAATGAGAAACACAGCTAAAGCCCAATGTGTTGTGTTCTGCTCAAGAGTTGGGCCTGACCCCAGACTCCACGGCTGGCCACCTCTGTCCAGTGGGACACAGCGCCAGGGATGCTTTCCGCTGTAGTAGGATTTTGCATGGCTGTGGGTGGGGGGTTGGGAATGGGATTTTCAGAATTTTCTTGAGGCTCCTCTGTTTAGCTCCTCACCAGCCTTCTTCCCAGTGCCTCTCTCCCCTGGCAAGGGCTCCTGTCAAGAGTAGCCCTTACTCAGCTGTGGGCTGTAAATTGTCCTTCTCTTCTCGGTTCTCTGTCCCACTCTCGTCATCTTCAATCTCTCCTTCCTCCCCACTGAACTTGTCATGGGCCCATTTGGGGCTGGTACTAGACTTCCGGAACATGAATCGGCCCCGACCTCGGGGAAAGGATCCTCGGCCCCGGCCACGGCCCACCCACTTGTCACTGCCTTCTCCTTCACGGTCATCATGCTGAAAAGAAAGAAAATTGCCATCAGTGCCACAGTGAACAAGTGGCCAGAGCTCTCTTCTTTGTGCTCACCCAAATGTGCCTTTCCCAAAAGAACCTGTGCCCTAGGACCCAGCCTTTTACTTCTTTTCTGCCCTCCTTATCTTCCACTCCAAAAATGTCACTGGTTCAGATCCAAGAGAGTATTAGTTGAGAGCCTTATGAATTCTCTCTAGGCAGTAGCTTGGGCATTATGCTGATAATGATGATAAAACCTTCACTGAGCTCTGAAGATCCATTATCTCATTCAATCCTCACATTTACCCTATCATTATCACCCCCCACTATGCAAATGAGGAAACAGGCTTAGAAACCTTAAGCAATTCCATATAATTTAGTACATCATCTCTCAAAGGATGGGTCTGAGAAAGCCAATCACACCAAAGCATGAAACTGTGTGTGAACTGGGTTGTTAGGCAGGTAAGAGACTAAGCAACACTCAGTACACATAGCTGGGGCTCCAGTTCTTTCTGACCTTCTCCATCCGCAGCCTACCATCTTGTATCTCTCCCCTCTTATTAGCTCTGTGCAAGGTGATGGTGTGGCATAATAGGAAAAAAAACTTATCCTACATCTCAAATAATCCCTGCTCTGACAATCTCATGAGACACAAGAAGGGATCCAATGAAAGAATAAATGAGAAAGCATTTCAAAAGCCAGAGACATTACTTCATCTGCCCCATCACTTCAAGGAACATAAACCACCTCCCACCTCCCCAACCCCCCCACCCCCACCCCACATGCAAACAAGGGCTTTAGGCTCCTGGAGGTCAGCTCACCTAAAGTGCTAGCTTCTGACTAAGACTGATTGTTCACCACACTAAATGAATCCAGATCAGCAATGCTTGCAATGCTTTTTCACGTGGCAGATGGGGCAGGGAAGAGGGGTTTTTTGTATGGCTTTTAATCCTTCCCTTTACAGCAGTCTCACTCCAGCACTGGGACCAGCCAACTACAATTCCCTAGAGGTAGGTTCGTGGGTCCTCTAGAAGCCTCAGAGCAGCTCCAAGCAGCTCTAGAAAAGTGAAGGTGGCCATGCACACAACCTGTTTCCTAGCTGTGCAACTGACAACACAGACCCATGCCAGCAATTCTGGTGGGTGATGAGATTCAGCTGCATGTTTACCTTGGTTATAACACTCAGAGTCACACCTGCTTGTATCTGAGCCTGCTGTTGACATGGCAAAGACAAGAGAGCTCACTCACTGACCAGGTAATTCAGCCTCGAAAAGCCTCAACCTCAGAGAGGCACAGAATTGCATGGGAATGATCAACAGCTTAGATAAAAGTCCAAGTGGCATTTCGTTTTGGAGATGGATCCCTTTTCTCAAAGATAATCTGAACTATCAATCCTGCACTGGGGAGTGAAAGAGAGAAGCTGGGGCATCAGGGAGAGTTATGGCTCTATCACAGAGAGGAGGCTCATGCTGGGAGTGGGTGAGCAGTAAAACACGTTCACAGACCAAAAAATAAAAAGGCAAGAGCAACACTTCTTGCTTATCCTAGAATCCATAAACACCTTAGACGATAAAACCCTTTTGAGGAAAGGACTTTCCTTCTAGAAAACACCTATCTCGTTCGCACTACACTATCCAACAAGTACACATTCACCAGTGCAATATGCCTGCACATGCATTTAATCACAGTTTAGGTCAGGACCATTAAGGCCCCAGTTATCCCCAGACACATACCAAGTAATATTTCTTGCTTTTGGGTGTGTATTCTGGGTCCCACTCCTCTTCTCGGTTCCTCTTTTGAAAATCGTTGTTGCTGTTGTTGTTATTGTTACCAGAGTAGTTGCCTCTGCCCCAGCCTCTCCCTCTGGCTCGAAACTGCTGGGACAATAACCAGGACAGGAACAAAGGACCATGTCAGAGATGAGAAAAACAAAAAACATACAAACTCCCTTGCATTCTGTTCAAATGAATTTTCTGGTATGGAATAAACAACTGTCCTCCAGATGCTAGTCAACTGGTTTCTAGCCATTTGGTTCCCTTTTGGCTCCCCTCAAGTCTATAGCCTAAACAAAGGATAAACATGGCCCAACGGCCTCTCTAGAAACAGCAGTAGTCAAGGTGAGTGGGGTAAGTTTGAGACCAGAAACCTTAAGAGGCTTTCTAGCTAAGTGATCATGGGCTTTCTAGCTAAGTGATCATGAACAGAAAAATAACTAAAAATATAAAGCCTGGAGAACAAGAGACAGGGAACCAAAGATTCTGGGGTCTACAGACTAGACAGTCTATATCAGAGGCAACAAAACTGGTACTCTGATGAAACATAATCAGAATTGGTAGAGCAGGGCTGGCCCGGTGGCGCACTGGATAGTGCGCCGCTTGGGAGTGCGGCGGTGCTCCCGCCGAGGGTTCGGATCCCATGTGGAGACCGGTTCCCCCTCACTGGCCGAGCGTGGTGCAGGCGCAACACCGAGGGTTGCGATCCCGTTGCTGGTCCCTGGTACGGGCGCGACACCGAGGGTTGCGATCCCGTTACCGGTCAGTAAAAAAGACAAAAAGGAAAAAAAAAAATTGGTAGAGCAAGGGGCTTAGAGAAAGGGGGAGAGGGAAGGGTCTTACAAAGTTTCCTCGAGCTCTGCCGCCTCCTCTTTCACTTGGCCCCACAAAGTCTTTGGTCCCCAGTCTTGATTTGTCAAAGCCTGTGGTGCTCTCCTCTCTTTCCTCTGTCTCTTCAGTGTACTCTTCTGCTTTGTAGGAGTGAGATGACTGGGAGGAAGAGGATGATGATCTGGAACGGTCTCGAGCTCTCCGGTGCTTCCTATGGAAAGAGAAGAGCCAAGGAAATCAATAAGTCTCTAGAGGACAGCTTTTGGCTGGGGCCTCAAGGATAAGAAGCACAAGGCCATCAGGAGTGTGACTGTGATGGAGAAACTGAGGATGAATAACCTAAAAAAAAATCAGCTCTCCCTCAACCTACCCACCAAGATACTTGGGGGCTTTCTCCCAATTCTGTCAGTCACATTCACTGCCACATCTACATCTGAG